CCCTTCCTGTAGATGAATCCTATGGAACAAATTAAAGGACTAATACCTTTGATGTCGGCTATGGTCCACCCTAATGCAGATATGTGTTCATTCAGAATGTTTAAAAGTTGTTTACATTGTAATGCATCTAATTCTAACAAGATAATGACAGAAAAGGTATCACCTGGTCCAAGGAACACATTTTCAGTCCCTTAAGAAATTGTTTCAATTCTGGCTTAGGGCTATCAATACTTGATGGCTTCTGTCCTCTAGTCCTTTCTGGCAATTCTTCAAACTTAGGTTGCCATGGTGAAGTCCTGTGGTCTTGCAATTTTGCAAAAATAGCAAAAATGTTAGCATACTCATTAACATCAAAACCATATAAAATTTCAGAATTTAGGATAAAAGAGTTCAAAGGATCATAATCAATTGTTGTGGGTGCTTTCTCCTGAGTGAGTGCATCAATCATGTAGGTTTGATGACATTCATCTTCTTCCGTAGGTTGTTTGGTGATATGGAAAATATTGACTTCTAGAGTCATATTTCCAAATGTCAACTTCATCAAACAATTCCTGCAATTGATAAGAGTATTAGCTGTAGCAAGGAAAGGTCTACCAAGTAGAATAGGGATTTTAGAGTTAATATCCACCTCAACCTTCACATCTAATACCAAGAAATCAACGGGATAGTAAACTTTATCAACTTGAACTAACACATCCTCAACTACTCCCCTTGGTCGTATGGTGGATCGGTCAGCTAACTGTAGCACAATTGAGGTGGGTTTCATCTTTCTTAGACCTATCAACAAGTATATAGCATAGGGCATGAGGTTGACACTAGCTCCTAAATCAAGAAGGGCTTGTGCAAACTCACGGCTCCCAATGACACAAGAAATGGTAGGACAACCAGGGTCTTTATACTTTGGTGGGATCCTTTGTTCTATCATAGCACTCACTTGCTCGGTCAGGAAAGCGATTTTCTTCACATGATGTTTCCTCTTCACAGTGCATAAGTCTTTAAGGACTTTAACATATGTAGGAACTTGGGAGATCACATGCAAGATAGGCAAATTGCTTTTTACTTGTCTGAGGTGTTCTAGGATTTCATTATGCTGACCTGTTGATTTCGAAGTGGACTTGAAAGCTTGAGGGAAAGGTATTCTAGCTAGGTTTTCCACAACTTCCTCACTAGGACTGCTCT